CCGCCGGCCCCAACTTTGGACGGTGTCCCGGGACGCAGTCGGGGTCAGCTTCGGGCTCAGGATGCAGAGGAGTTAGGCAAACAACAGAGGCCACCAAGCAAGTGTCCTGGGGTCGTCCTCTGCTCCCAGGTGGGCGCAGGCCGGACCTTGGGGACCCAAAGAGCCACTGCGGGTCGGGGTCCTGGAGTTGGCGGCCTGTTGTGCAAACCTCGGCCCTTGTTTTCCCGGCCCAGCTCGTTGGGAGGCCAGACACATCCACCCTTGGAATTGATTCAGGAGGGTGCTGCTTTTCTTCTTTCTCCTCTTGGATTTTCTGGATTTTTGAAAACCCAGTGGCCCCGGAGGAGGAGGAGAAGGAAGGAGGAAGGGCCGATCTGCAGAGGAATGCCAGAGCCTCCCAGAGCCTCCCAGAGCCGGAGCAGCCAGCAGGAGCTGGGAGCCAGCGGGAAGAAGGGCCCTGCCTGCGTTTCTGGGAAGGCGGTTTGTTCCGAGGAAGCCTGTTTTGCCTTAGAACATTGTTCCGGTGGAAAGTGCTGAATTCTTGCCCTTGAAGAGCTGGTTTCTCCGGGTCACTTGGCTTTTCCATTGGGAGTGGGAGGAGGGAGAGACTCCCCTTTCCCAGGGGCTGCAGAGAAAGAGAGGAAGACTATGGACAGAGCCCTACCTTCCCTGCCTACAAGTAATGCCGGGAGACCTGGCGGGGCAGTTCCTAGGCCATGGACACTGCTCTGAAGAAGGGGAGGCTGGACAGAGTCTGTGGATGCTGAGACCCTGCCACAGGGACCCCTGAAACGGCACCGTGTGACAAGCATTGAGCTGCCAGTGCATTTTTGGTCACCTTGGTCTAGGACACGACCCTCTCCTTCCCATCTTTATCCACCAGCAGCACCACCATGGCGCTGAAAGGCCGAGCCCTGTATGACTTTCACAGTGAGACTGAGGGGGAGATCAGCATCCGGCAGGATGAGGACCTGGTAGTCTTCAGTGAGATGTCGCTGGATGGCTGGCTTCAGGGGCAGAACAGCTGTGGGGAGATGGGGCTCTTCCCTGCCTCCTATGTAGAGATCATCCGTCCTGGTGCCAGTGCCAACCACAATGACTACCCCGGCAGCCCTGCAGGCTCTCTGGGAGCCCAGGTGAGCGCCTATGACAGCTCTAGCCCAGCCAGGAGCAGTGGGGGCGGTGGCTTCCTCTCAAACCCGGGCAGCTTTGAGGATGATGACGATGATGACTGGGATGACTGGGATGATGGGTGTACGGTGGTGGACGAGCCTCGGGCTGCTGGGCTGGGTACCAATGGGCACCCCCCACTCAACCTTTCCTATCCGGGTGCCTACCCCAGCCAGCACATGGCTTTCCGGCCCAAGCCACCCCTGGAGCGGCAAGACAGCCTGGCATCTGCCAAGCGGGGCAGCATGGTGGGGCGCAACCTTAACCGCTTCTCCTGCTTTGTGCGCTCTGGTGTGGAAGCCTTCATCCTTGGAGACGTGCCTATGATGGCCAAGATCGCTGAGACTTACTCCATCGAAATGGGGCCCCGAGGCCCCCAGTGGAAGGCCAACCCCCACCCATTTGCCTGCTCCGTGGAGGACCCCACCAAACAGACCAAGTTCAAAGGCATCAAAAGCTACATCTCCTATAAACTCACTCCCACCCACTCAGGCTCACCTGTCTACCGGCGCTACAAACACTTTGACTGGCTCTACAACCGCCTGCTGCACAAGTTCACGGTCATCTCGGTCCCCCACCTGCCTGAGAAGCAGGCCACTGGCCGCTTCGAGGAGGACTTCATCGAGAAGCGCAAGCGGCGACTCATCCTCTGGATGGACCACATGACCAGCCACCCGGTACTCTCGCAGTACGAGGGCTTCCAGCATTTCCTCAGCTGCCTGGACGACAAGCAGTGGAAGATGGGTAAGCGCCGTGCAGAGAAGGATGAGATGGTGGGTGCCAGCTTCCTGCTCACCTTACAGATCCCCACGGAGCACCAGGACCTGCAGGATGTAGAGGACCGTGTGGATACCTTCAAGGCCTTCAGCAAGAAGATGGACGACAGCGTCCTGCAGCTCAGCACCGTAGCATCAGAGCTTGTGCGCAAGCACGTGGGTGGCTTCCGCAAGGACTTCCAGAAGCTGGGTAGTGCTTTCCAGGCCATCAGCCAGGCCTTCCAGATGGATCCCCCTTTCAGCTCCGAGGCCCTCAACAGTGCCATCTCACACACGGGCCGGACCTATGAGACCGTGGGTGAGATGTTCGCTGAGCAGCCCAAGAACGACCTCTTCCACATGCTCGACACGCTGTCCCTCTACCAGGGCCTGCTCTCCAACTTCCCTGACATCATCCACCTGCAGAAAGGTAGGCCCTGGGCAGAAAGGGGATTTTCCAAGCTTGGTGCCCTGCTGGACCCTGGGATGGGGGTGGCCTCAGAATGGGGCAGCTCTCTGAGTCTGTCTCAAACTCAAGTCATTCACTCAGCAAACATGTTGGGTATATACTCTGTGGCAGCTCTGTTCTCATGGAGCTCCGTGTTTGCCTCTTGGTCAGCTCACCCTTTTTCTGTCTTTTCTTGCTTACACCATCATGCATGGTTATCAGGCTGGGTTCTGGGAACACAAAGATGACCAGGCCCAGGCCCAGATAACAGGAGCACAGTGTGCAGCCTGTCTTCCCACTTCTTTGACTCAGTGGTGCTTTGGCCAATTCAAGTCCTCCTCCACCCCACCCCTGAGCTCCTATCTATTTGGGAGAATCCCTGTCCTCATGGCCCAGCTGGGACTGTCCCTTCCTCCTGCCACCTCCCAAAGGACACATCTACCTTGGCTGCCTCCCAGGCCCGGCCATGTTGTTGGTTCCCAGGGCCCTGTCTGTGGGGGAGGGACAGGATGGGCCCCTGCCTGTTACTGCTGGATTGTGCAGGAGCTACCAGGGAAATGACTCACCCAGGTCACACGGGGGCATGGGCCGTCTGGGGAACGGAACCGGGGTCCAGGGCATTGCTTACATGACACAGCCAGTCCCTTCCCAAGTCTGGCTTCCCTTCTTGCCTGAGGGGTGAATCAGGAGCTGAACCTTGAGGTGGCAGAGTCCTGGGGACAGTGGCAGGGCAGATGTCAGGAGAGGTGTGGTCCTCCCTGGGGCTGCTGGTAACTCAGGAAGAATGGGGCTGAACCATGAGCCCTGAGGTCAGGCCTGGCTGGTGGGAGCTTGCCTCTGGGTGGGGGAATACAGGCTTCTACTGATCCTGGGGACAGCAGCCTCTCCTTGCCCCTGGGTGCCATGGAGTCTGAGGAAGGTGGTGGCTCTCCTTACCAGCAGGGTGACTGTCAAAACTCCTCTCACCTCTCCTTTTCCTCCATGTCCCCTGCCAGCTCCAAGAGACACAAGGCCTACATTCTAGTCGGGCTCTTCCCCAGTTCACCTGTGTGCCCTGAGAAGCGCCTCCTCTGCCCCCTGCTCAGTTTCCTATTTATGGAGCAAGAGAGGGGCCCCCATGAGCTCTCAGACCTTGGAGGGAAGGTGTGGTTAGGGACTGTAGTGATCCAACAGCAGAACTGTGCCTTGGATCTGCACTGGGCCCCATGGGGCAGGTGCCTTCCTGGACGGAAGTGGGCCTCACCTGCACCAGGCCTGGGAAAGCTGGTTTGACCAGCTCCTCCATGGTGTGTTTCTGTGTGGGCAGTGGGAGGCTGGGCCTGATGATGAAACAGCTGGGACCAAGCTGGATAGAAGCAGGGGCAGCAGGGTGACCCATGCCCAGAGCATCTAGGGCTCTAAGCTCACATCAAAGCCACAAAGCAGGGAGACGGAGCTGAGGGAGGCTGTGTCTGGATCCCTGCCTGAGGTGTTTCTGGGAGTCAGGACTAGTCTCCTGGGATGGCCGTGCAGCTTGAGGTGGAGGCTGGGTTGTACATCTTCACCTGGAACCCCTGCACCCAGATTCCTGGGGCTTGTTTTAGGTTCTCGAATCTGGTCTGGGGTCCAGAGTGAGGAGGGTGGAGGGCTTGGAAAGTGAGGCAGTTCTGAGCAGGCTTTGGGGACCTCAGCCAGAGAGGGTCCCATGCTAGCCCTATGGATGGAGACATTGGATCCTGGGTCTGTGCAGCCTGTCTAGAATCCAGGCCAGGAGTCTTCCAAGAGAACAGCAATCATATAATTAACATCCAACAGAGAGGCATGGTGGTGCATACCTTGAATCCCAGCACTTGCGAAGCTGAGGCAGGAGGATCACCCCAAGTTGGTAACCTACCTGGGCTACACATCAACCCTGTCTCAAAACAAAAACATCCAAACTGGGACAGTTTGGGGATGAAGGGTGTCCTGGTAGTGGACATCTCCTAAAACACCAAGGAGAAAGTGACTGCCCAAAGTGAGCAGGGACTTGCTGTCCCCTCCTGAGATCCAGCAAAGGCCAGGCTCAGTCCCCAGCACATCCTAAGCCAAGAGGTCTGGCTTTTACAGACAAAGTGCACTAGGGTAGTTTCAGAAGCAGAGAAGGAAGGATCTGGAGCCCAGTGCATGTGACCCCCTGGCCTGGGCTTTGTCCACTGTGTCAGGCAGATGAGGAGAGGCTCCTTGAGGGGTGGGCAGCTGGGATTGACGTACCAGCATTAAGGAGGCTCAGCGGGTGCTCCAGCTCTGACCTGGTTGGCATCTGGGATGCAGGATTGCAGGGTTTAGGGACAGCAGCCTGGCCAAAGGAAGGGTGTTGCAGGACAGGGTCTTCCTAGGGACAGAAAGTTCCAACTATCACCATACTCTTCCTCTGCTCCCCTCTGAGGCTTTTATTTTTATTTTAATTTATTTATTTTGGTACCGGAGATCGAACTCGGGTCCTTGCACTTGCAAGGCAGGTGGTGGAACTGCTGCAGCTGAGCTAAATCCCTGGCCCCTCTGAGGCTTTTATAAGTAGAGAACCATACTGCCAGAAGCCACTGCCAGCTGAGTACATATGTGACCCCAAGAGGAGAAACCTGGCACCCAGCTCCTGGCATCCCAAGCTCTGGGTCTCTGGCAGGTGCAGTTCTTGGATACTTCAGGTAGGCACTGTCACAGAAGTAGAAAACAGCTCTGTGTTGTGAACAGTGGTCAGGACCGTCACATGCAGTACAGCCTGTCCCATGTCACGGCAGGAAGAACTGCAGCCCAGAAAGAGCAAGGGTTCCTGCAGGTAGCACAGTGGGAACCCGGCTCAGCCCTCTTGCCCCCAATCTAGGCTGGGTGGTGGTAACTGCCTTCAGTGGACAGGAGATGGTTTGAGGCTGGAGCTTGGGGACCTTTTGGGACCAGGGGTTCTGTGGCTGGTGGCTCCAGCTCTCCTTCACCCATTGCTGGACCTGGCTGCCGGGCTCCTGGGACTCTTGGTGACTTCCATGGAATATAGGAGGGATGCTGAGCAGCCTCCTTTCCTCCAGCCTGCCCTGCTGAGTGGGAAATGTTAGCCTTAGCTGGTCCTGGCCACAGAACTGAGTCACAGAGTGGGGAAGTGATAGTGGGGTGGCCTGTCCCCACCTCTGCAGCCTTTGCCCCCATCCCTGGCTCTTGCCTGGGTGAATACTGAGCCAGAGCCAATGCTGCAGTAGTTCCTTCTTGTTCTTTAGGCCACATCAGCTCATCAGCAAAAGGGCCTTTCCTTTCTCAAAGGCCACGGGCAGGAAAAACCCTTTTGAATATAGATCCACCCTCCCTGCACCCAGCCTTGAGAAGGTAGGTGGAATCCAGGCCCCTCTGTCTCCTCTTCAGGTTGGTTTCTCTAGCAGAAGCTTAACTGCAGTTGATTTATTTTGGTCCTGATTGAACCCAGGGCCTTTGCACTGAGCTACATTCCAGCCCTTTAAATTTTTATTTTCTAAGAGTCTTGCTAAATTACCTAGGTTGAACCTGAACTCGTGATCCTACTGCCTCGCCTCGCAGTGTGATGTGCCTATCCTACCTGGCTTCTGTACTTTCTTCTTATGGCACCTGCTGTGTCCTGGGACTTTCTTGAATCCCTGTGTCCACACTGGGCTCCCACAACAAAGGGCTGCTGTAGAGGGCCAGGCATCCCCGCTCAGGGGGCAAGAAGGAAGCTGGGAGCCAAGAGGCAAGTCTCTGCCCCTCAAGACCTCAGCTTCCCCTTCTAGTTGGGGACACAGAGCAGTGCCCTGGAGTGTCTCCAGCTCTGAATTCTATACTTCACCCACCCTGGGCCTCTGGGTAATCCCAGGGCCAGGCTGTCTGCATGGAGCAGGAGCAGGGTGCCTGAGGAGGGTGACAGGAGAACTGCTGGGTCCAGGAGCTGAGGACTGCACATTTTTTTATGCACTGTTGGGGCAGCTTGGAGACTCCGGACTGGTGAGCAGTTAGTCGTGCAGTTGCCAACAGATAGGTGCTGCCCCTCCTAAAGGCATCCTGTTATCCATCCTGGGGAGCCACTGCCTGCATGTAGTAAGTGCTCAATAAATCCATTTTGGATGCATCTGACAACTTGAATGACAGTAATGAGAATGCTATCCTGAAGGCCCCAGGAGCCCTCTTTGAAAGAGGAGTGGCAAAGCGTGGGTCTGAGTTGCGCTGTCTGTGTACAGTAGGTACTCAAGAGCTCAGAGGAAGCACTGCCTTTCACACCCCTGCCCACCACCTTGGTCATCTTTGCATAGTTGATGCCCTCCTGTTCCTCAAGGGTGAGTGTGGGCACAGGAAGTCAGCTTCCTCTTCTGCTAGCTTAAAGGCAGAATCAGTCGAGTGTCTTCTAATCCAGAGCTGAATCCATTCATTCATTATTCATTCAGATTCTTCCAGGTTGGGTTCCCTGCCCAGGTGGATCTCCCACTCATGCCCACCTGTCACTTGGGTGTGACAGCAGCTTCCTCTGGTCCCCTGGGGCTGCTGGCTGTGGGAGGCACACCAGGTGCTGCTTTAGAATCAGTAGTGACAGGCAGGTGAGTCTGGGTGGCATTTTCCCAGGGGGACTGGTGAGGCTCTGGTGTGGAAGCGGCACCTGATCCAGGCCTTGAATTATGAATGGGCATCCATCAGGCAGAGGTCTGGAGGCAGGAAAGAGCTGGAGGGTTTGATGACTGGTCAGAGTGGGCCAGAGGGGTGGGGTGGGAGCAGGCCTTGGAGTGCAGGTGATGGGAAGCAGGAGGGTGCTATGCTTGGGGATATACTGGGGAGATGTGGGACAGACTTTGGGGAGGGGAACAGTCACAGAAGCCCAGGGATGGCGGGGTCACCCATAGGGTCTGTTGTGGGCCAGGCCTCTCCCCAAACGGACAGGATAGGAGAACATCAAGCTCACAGCCCAGGGCAAATGGGCAGAGAAGACACAGGTTGAGAGAGAACCCAGGGGACCTGGGGATACCTGGGGTCCCAGGAGCCTTTAGAGGCTGTGGTGGTACTGGAAAGACTTCCTGGAGGAAGGGAGGCCAGGGTGGCACTGGGAGGTGGTGCACTGGGGGTTCAGGAACCATCCAGGCCTGAAATAGCCACATCTAGCGAGGCCAGACTGCTCAGTGCAAGCTGCTGGCTATGCCCGAGCATGGAGGGAAGGTGATGAGATGGAAGCTGTAGCAGTACAGGATGCCCTGGTAGACTCAGCCCAGCCACAGTCTGACCTCAGGAGAGGTCTGGTGGCTCTGATGCAATATCATCCGCCCTTGGGGTGCTACAGGTGCAGGCGGGGCATGACGGTCGAACCCCCTCCCCTCATCTGCCTCTCCTTGCCCACCAGGCGCCTTCGCCAAGGTGAAGGAGAGCCAGCGCATGAGCGACGAGGGCCGGATGGTGCAGGATGAGGCGGACGGCATCCGCAGGCGCTGCCGTGTGGTGGGCTTTGCCCTGCAGGCCGAGATGAGCCACTTCCACCAGCGCCGCGAGCTCGACTTCCAGCACATGATGCAGAGCTACCTGCGCCAGCAGATCCTCTTCTACCAGCGCGTGGCCCAGCAGTTGGAGAAGGCCCTGCGCATGTACGACCACCTCTGACCACATGGCCCCTCCAAGGCCTGGTCCCCGTGGGGCTGGAGTTTGGGTGGTGGGCAAGGTGGGCAAGAAAAGGGACTTTGGAGGCATCCCAGCCAACCTACTTTAGAGACAGCAGAGCAGGGCCAGGCCACCCTCGCCACCCCTGTTCACTCAGTGTCACTGTGGTTCTGGGCCAGTTGCTCAGCACCCATGCCGTTGCCTGACCCAGGGGAGTCCCCATCCATGGCAAGGGTCAGACACAAAATCAGGCAAAGGTAATACAATGTGACCAGTGGCTGAGTATGGGGTTCCTGTAAGCTCCCAGATGGGTCCATGGACCCTGCCGGCCAGAATAGGCAACATTCCCGTAGAATGTCTTGATGAGTGACAAGGACCTGCCAGGCAGCAAAAGGAAAGAAGGATTTTCAGGAAGAGGATTCATGTGGGGGTCTTCTCTCACTTACCTTTCTCAAGCACATTTGGTATCCTTTCCATGGGGACTCTGGCCTGGTGGCAGAGGGAAGGGATGGTCCTTGCTCCCTGTCCTGGATTTCCCTGCCCCACCCTGTGCCCTGCAGAAGGAGCTGCAGGTCAACTCCTTCCTGCAGGCCACTACCTCCCTTGCCCTCCCCTGCAGTGCCCCCACATTCTCTTGCTTGGGGGCCAATCAGCATCCTTCCTCCTGGGTTTGGGGCGCAAGACAAGCCACAGACCATGGGCCCTGGTGGTACTTTCCTGGAGGGGACACCCTGAAGTTATGGGATAGTTGAGTTCCCCAGCAGTAACTGCCTTGCTCCAAGCCAGCCCTGACCCCAGTTCCCAGGGTCCTTGGCTGTGGAGGTGTCATCTTCCAGAATCCTTCCTGTCAGGCATGTGGGAGCCCAGGGGAGAGCCAGGGATTCCAGTTCCCAGCCCTTGGAAGCTCCATGGCTGAGCAGCAGCTGGGAGGACAGTGACCTTGTCCCCTCTTCCCCCCAGGAGGTCTTGGTTTGCTCCTAGTTGCTGCCGCTTGAGTCCTTTCTCTTTTTTTTCCTCCATAAACCTTCTACTGTTAAGATGACAAGAGCACAGCCCCTTCTGTGTGGATCCTGGGAAGGCTAGGGTGGGGAAGGCTGGAGGCTGAATTGCCCCTGGGAGCTACTAGATGAGATTTGGCAGTCATTGTGGGTTGTTTTGACCACAGACCTTCAACAGGTAGGAGGTGAGGAACTAGTGGAAGGAGCTAGAGGTGGCCCAGACCCTGCACCCAGACCTCTCTGTCCTAGCTGTAAGATGGATTCAGTCCATGTAGGGTTTGGCTGCTCCCTGTGCCTGGAGGGTTGTGGGAGGGAGACATGGGGAGGCCACGCCTAGGACACTCCTGGGTGCTTTCTGTACCCCTAGAGCCATATCCAGGCCTTGTCCTTGGAAAGCCCCAGTCCAGGGAGGGTTGGGGATGCCCAGAAACCATGTCCCTCCGCCATCATCCTTACTCTGTGGTGGCTCCCCATGCTGGAAACTGAGGAGGCACTACAGCTGGACCCTTGGGGGTTTGTGGTCCAGGTGACTAGGAGCTGAGCCTCTGCACTGCAGAGGTGAGCAGAGTGGACGGTTGTCTTCCAGTGGCCATGGGGATGGAGATGGGCTGGGCACCTCAGCGTCAGGGCTGCCAAGGAGGCCTTGCCAGGCCAGGGCTGGGCAGCAAGAGATGGGCACAGGTCCTGCTGTTCAAGGCAGAGTGTCCTCACAGGAACTTCTGGAATGGGTCCCCTGGCCCTGGGTCAACATTAGGTCAGATTTGGGACTTTTTGAGGAATTTTCCCCTCCCTGTCCTCCTTCCTTCATTTTTTGGCTCATCTGAGGAGCTAACTTTCTCCCTAACTGCTCAGCTGTGTCATCTGCAGAGTGCCACTGAGTGTGGCAGGGACAGGGTCTCTTTCCCGAGGCAGCCTGGAAGGCCCCATTAATGTCACCTGCCCTGGAGAGCTGTCACCCTCTCGTGTCCTTTCACGGAGAGGGGCCACCTGTGCCCACCATCCTCAAGGTCAGTGGTTGGGAAGGGCTTGAGCCTTGGAGAAGAAACAGGAAGTGGAGGCTTGGGATGGGTCAGGCATCCTGAGGTCTCTGGGTGGGGAAAGGTGTGTGGGGTGTGGAGTGGGGCATCATGGCCCTTCTCTCTGTCTGAGTGTTTTGGGGTGTTGTGGAATCGGGTTGTCCTGGGCTGGCCAGAGTCCCTCTCAGCGGGAGACTGGGGGGCCAGTAGTGGAGGAGGGAACACACTGGTAGTAGCAGGGCTTGCTGGCCTTAGTCACATGCCAGCAGATGTTCCAGGCTGAGCTGGGCCCAGCTGCCTGTGGTTTCTTCCTTAGCTTTGCTCTGAGTAGGGTAGAAGACAGGCCTTCTTTTTCTGTCCTTGGTGGCTACCGGGACCTGGGTGAGGATGAGGGGCTCCTGATCCCCAGGCTGGCCAAGGAAATGGAGTGTGCTGTGTGGCCTCATGTGGGGTGAGGATGAAGTAGACCTTGGCTTCTGTGTACCATCGCTCTGGACATAGGAGAGCTGGGAACCCTGTGAAGCTGTGGCACCAGCTGGAGCAGAGCCAGGCCCAGGAGACCCCGATGTTCCTGGCATCACTGTGACAGAGCCGCGTGATCATCCGCACATCCATGCAGAGACATAGTTCAAAGCCACAGAACCACATACAATCCTGCTGTTTGCCCAGCAGCCACAGCTGGCCCTGCACACACTCACACAACCATGTGCTCACAAGTTGCACCCAGTCATGCTGCCATACAGGCATAGCTGCGGCCACATATGTGCCACTGTCAGTCGGTGTCTGGCTCAACCACTTTGCCATGCGTATGGCCCCAGCCTTACACAGTGTTGCAGCTCAGCCATACATCAAGGCAGGTGTGCATACAGTAAAGGTGTCACAGAAGCATGGCTGCCCCTGGGCTGCACCTGTCACCTCCCAGGTCCCTAGTCCAGCTCACCAGAGATTCCACTGGACTCTGAGGGACAAGCAGCCCCTGCGGGAGGTGTCTCCAAGGGGAGGACAGGAAGCCACAATAGCCCTGGGTCACACTCCCTAAGAGGCCTGGTGTGTTGTCAGATGAATGGGCAGTGCCAAGTCCAACTCCTCACCACACAGCCAGTGCCTCCAAGGCGTAGTGATCGTGGGGCCCACCACCTCACCCCACAGGTGGGTGACACCTCAGGGCCAGATCCAGCTCCCAGCAGGCTCTGTGGCTTGGCCTTGCCTGCCCTGGGCTCATCCCCAAGGCTAGGCTGCTGGGAGGCCCCTGGCTACATCTACCCAACAGAGCTCCAGGCTTTGACATCTCTCCAGCCCTAGTTGAACTGTGCTGTATCTGCAAGGCAGGAACAGGACGTGGTGGGCAGGCCCAGGCTGGGTGGGAGGGACATTCCTGTGTCCTGTCCTCCCAAGCATGTGAGGATCAGGCCTGCCCCGCCTGCCTGCCTGCTGAGTCAGGCCTTCGGGAGCTAGCCTGCACACCCCCACCCATTTCTGTCTGCGCCCCACGAGGCTGCCCAGTGCCTCTCACGTGTCAGGAGACTGTGAGTGCTGAGTGCTGGCAGGAAAACCCTGGGGACAAGGGGAAATTCACCTCCCCCAGTGGAGCTTAAGGGCTGATTGGGAAACCCAGCCCCCCGCAGTGAGCACAACGCTTTTTCTTTTGGTTTGATTCAGTTAGCTAACTTCAGCCCAGTCCAGTCTGTTTAAAAAAAGCAGTTCCTTTCAGAGCTGTGGCTTCCTTGGTTTGCATGCGAGCCCAGGTGACATCTCATCCATTTCTTTTTTATTCTTTTTTATTCTTTTTTTTTTGATACTGAGGATTGAACTCAGGACCTTGCTCTTGTGAGGCAGGCAGTGGCACCACTGAGCTAAGTCCCTGGCACAATTCCATTTCACAGACAAAAAGACTGAGGCTTGGCCAGGGAGGATGGGAATCACTTAGGGTCCCACAGCAAGGCCAGGAAGGGCTGCACTGGAACCCAGTTCTCTGGCTTCATCCCAGAGTTTGAGCTGCTGAATTCGTTTAGGTCCAAGGAAAGAGGGGGTGGCAGATCTCTGCTTCAGAGGGGAAAGAATGGCAGGCTGGTGGGACAACTGCTGAAAGGTGAGGGGGCTTGAAGTGCCTGAGGATGGGTGAGTCTGACAGCCCCCCAGGGACGAAGTCGGGAGGCAGCTCAGCCTGTGAGTCCAGCTGTTTGCAAAAGAACACGTGTGAGGAGCCTAACTTCATTTTCCCCGTCCTCCCTGGATTTCTCTTCATTCATCCACAAGGAAGAAAAGTCATCGCTAATGATTCGGGAGCCCTGCCTTCAGGCTTCCATATGAGTTTTGGTGATAGCACATTTGAAGACCTTGGGCAAGACCCCAGCACTTTCATTCATTGATTCATTCGAAGACACTAGGTAGCCGAGGCCAGCATGGCACTTACTGTGTAACCCAGACTGGCCTTGAACGCTCCATCTTCTTGCCTCAGCCTCCCGAGAGCTGGGTTTACAGGTGTGCACACCACACTGGGAGAGGTTTACACACTGAAGCCCACATATTCAAATGTAACTGTACACTACATTAAAGAGTTTGGTTTACTACTTGAAAAATCTTGTCATATAAATATTTAATTAAAAGTTATTATTTCTGGTCTTGCCTTTTTTTTTTCAGTGCTGGGAATCAAACCCAGGGCAAACCTTCCTCCATTGAGCTACATTCCTAGTCTGATTTTTTTAAAAAGTTATTTTTATTTTGTTTGTTTTTTGCTTTTTGAGACTGTCTCACTATGTAGCCCAGGCTGGCTTTGAACTTGTGGCAGTCGTCCTGCATTAGACTCCTGAGTGTTAGCTACCACACCTGGCTCTTTTCTTTCTTTTTCCTTTTCTTTTGGTTCTTTGTTCTCCAGCCCCTGCCCCTGGCTGTGCACATTGGTCTAGGTTTTGTGCAGAAGGGTCCCTGGCACTGTGGTCCAGGGCAGCATTGGGCCCTTGAACCTCCTCACTTGCACCTGCCTTCTCCACCTCTCATTGCCCATCCTGAGCCTCTGAGAGAAAGGTTGAGCTTTCTCTGCTCTTTGGCATGGAGGGCTTCTTTGTGGCCCCACACCAAGGGCTGACAAGGCTCCCTTCTGTGTCCTCTGACCGCTGTGGCTGTGGTCCTCATTCCACAGCTCCTGCGTCCCAGCCAAGTATAGGGAGATACTCCATGGCTGGTTAGATGCCCCATGTAGCCCGAGTCATAGGGACCTGGCTGTGTGAGGTCTACCTGGGAAGGGGACAGAAGTCCCAATGTCCCAGGTCTTGCCCCTTTGGGGCTTCTCCACTCTCCCAGTGTAGCCCACGGTGGACATGGGGTGCCCATTATTTCTTAGCCACCCTGTGTGCAAAAGATTATCAGCATCATTTTACAGACCTGGAGCTGGAGCCCAGCCATGGAGGTGCTGGAGCAGCAGAGGCAGGGAATGAGATGATTCCCAGGACCTGTGCTGAGAGGCAAATGACCTGGTGCAGGGGTCAGTGGCTGGCTGGGGCACTTAGGATCCTGGAGCCTCTTCTTGACTGGCCAAAGCCCTTTGCTGCCATGGGCGGGGCTCTGGGTAGGCACATGAGGCTCACCCTATGGCACTACTGTCCCCTCAGCTCCTCTCCCTCCACCCTGAGCGATAGGACAGCAGGGTGTCAGGACCAAGCCCAAATCCTACCCAATGAGTTCTTCATGTTGATCCAGGGACATTAACTGCTCTGAGCTTCCATATTCCATTTATAGTACAGAGTTCCAGGCCACAAGGAGGGTTCCAGACCAAACACGTCAGCCAGCAGCGCTGTGCAGCCAGCCCTCCACAAGGAGTGGCCGGGATGCCAGCCTCCAGCAGAGCAGAGCAGAGAGGCAGGATCCAGAATCCTGGTACCCCACCTCTCAGGCAGGACAATGGATAACGCAAGCCATGGAGGCCACAGGTGGTCACTGGCCAAGTGAGACCAAGCCCCACTACACGCAGACCTTGGGCCCTGCCTGGGTTGTCACACTGTCCTCATGGGGCAAAGCCTAACCAGGAGCCTCCTGTCTCTAATGGCATTTGATGGTCCAGGCAGGAGGGGTCCCAGGACCATGGCTGTGATACGTACACCAGTGCACATGGCAGCATGGTCCAGGCACACCCTAAACCCTCCACTAGGTCAGGCCATTGCCTGCTGTGGCCAAGGGTGGCTTAATCTGAGCCCTGCTTTCTAGTGATTGTTGTCATGATTACACAGGTCCTCGAATTCATCTCGTGGGCTGTCATGTAACCTGTGTGCTATGTTGTCAAAGCCACACAGGCAGCCAAGAAGGGTGGGCCTAAGGCCACAGATACAAGTGGTTCAAGCATTTCTTAACGCCAGCCTGGGACTCTGAGTCCACTGTGAGCTCTACCATTGCCCTCAGTGGTCTCAGAGTCAGAGCCCCTTGTGCCAGCGTTCTCTGAAGATAGTGGCCCAGGGCTCTAGGTCATTTTCGGGAGCTTGGGCAGCTGCCCTGTCCAGGTTGGGTCTGAAGTCTGTCTGCCTTAGAGCTGAGCCCTTTCTATACTTCCAGCTGCCTTTCAGAGGCTGCTAGGCTGGGCCCTGGTCCACAGGGAAGATGGGGGACAGGCAGCAGATATTGGGGGAAGTGGCTATACCTTCATGTCAGCAGGTGCATGGCCCACGGAGAGCACTGAGCAAATAGTCATGGAGTGATGCTTTCCTGCCTGGGCTCAGTGTGGGAAGGAGACCTGCTATGGGCAGGCTGCTGGCAGGGAGGCTGGGTAGTGGCCTCAGGCAGGGCGGCATGCTGGTCACTAAGCATTGTCAGGAGCCTCCTTTCTCTGGGGGCAGACATGGAGCAGTGAAGGAGCAGGGAAAGGCTGAGCTGGAGGGGAGGAGGGTCCAGGTTCCAGTGGAGCAGCAGAGGTGGGGTGACAGTGATGGGGTCTGTGCTTGGCCAATGGGAGTCAGAGTGACCTACACTAATGAGCTAATCAGTCCCTACCTCCCCCACAGGGTCCCAGGCTTCTCCCTCTACCCATGGGCACCTGTCTGATCCCACCTGTGTGCCTCTCCCCTTTGCTCTTGGCACCTGGGACTTGCCTGTTTGTCTCTTGCTATCCTCTCTTCTGGGTCTGCTAGCACCTCAGGCCTTTTGTGTTTGCTGTCCTCTGTCTGGACTGTTATTCCACTGAAGTAGTGTGCAATTTGGACCTCAGTGAATTCAAGATATGGTTTAAATGTTACCTCCTCCAAGAAGCCTTCCCTGGCCACCCCATCTAAGGAGTCCTCCTGGTCCCTCTGTCCCCTTATGATGCCTTATTTCTCATAATGCCAACTGCCAATTATATAGTTGTATTTCAATTATGGAAAACTTCAGATGTGCAAAACCAGAAACTCCTATAATTGGTCCCTATATGGCCAGCCCTCAGCCTCAACAGTGATCGATATTGGGCTGGTATGTTAATCAATCAGTTAATTAATTTGCAGGCCAACAATCCCAGGCCCCTTACACTGAGCTATATCCCCAGACCTTTTTATTTTTATTATTTATTTATTTATTTTTTGGTACCAGGGATCGAACTCGGGCCCTTGGCTTGTGAGGCAGGTGCCAGAACCACTGAGCTAAATTCCCACCCCTCTTATTTTTAATTTTTGAGACAGTGTCTCACTAAATCACTAAGTTAGCCAGCCTGGGCTTGAACTTTTCATCTTCTGGCCTCAGCCTCCCAGGTTCAGACTCCTGCCTCAGCCTCCTAGAGTGCTGGGATTACAAGGGTGCTTTGGCCAGTGTTTTAATCCCCTTCTATCCCTTGCCTTCCAGTGAATTAAACATATCCCATAACTGCAGATCCTTCTATGCAGAGGTTATTATTTTAACTGTATCTCTTTCTGGCCTGTCTCTCCCAGGGGATGCTGCCTCAGGGGAGGTGGTGTCACATCCAGCACAGGCTCGCTGAAAGTGACTCTGGACATCTGGGGACAGGCATTGTGCAGGTTCAGGTTTGTACACGCCTGCTGCTGTGTCAGTGGGAGTCTGCACGCGGCAGCTCAGTGGATGCATGTGGGTGTGCACGTGTGTATTACACCGAAGCTGGTGGCCGAGTACACGACTTGCCCCTGATGTCATCTCCCACACCCCAGGACCCATGACTCACTGCCAGCCCAGCACGGCCCAACTCAGCCCTCTCCAGGCCTGAGAGTCCCTCCTTGTCCTGTCCTTACGTGGCTGTCCCCACCAGCAGTGTATGCAGTCCCTTGGCTCCTGGCACCAAGGCCCAGCCTAGCTGGCCAGCATTGGCTGGGCACGGAGTGGCGTGTTTGTGTGAGGGCACAGCTTAGAAGATAGAACTCTGAAACAGGATTCTGTGGTCTGGCTCTGTCCACCTCAACCACTAACTTACTGTGTGAGCTTGGCCTGGTCCCTGTCTTCCATCTCAGATCCCGGTCTTAGAGGTCAAGGGGGGGCTTCAGTCGGTGTACCTGAAACTCTGCTGTGCAGTGTCTTCTAACCCCCTGGGTACCTGGCTAAATGCAGCTTGACTCAGCATCTGGAGCAGAGCACAAGTCTTTTTTTCCTTTTTTCCCCCCTGGTGGTGCTGGGGATGGAACCCAGGGCCTCGTGCATGCCAGGCAGGCGTTCTGCCACGGAGTCACACCCCAGCCCAATCCTTCATTCCCAATAGGCTCCCTTGCAATGGTGGTGCTGTTGGCCCTGGCCCCCACTTTGAGGCTCACAGATTTAGACAACCCACCTCATCTGAACCTTCAGGACCCAGAAATGGTCAGGAGGGCACCTTGGGATTAGCTTGGGCTCTGAGGGAACAGAACCAGCAGTTTTCAGGTTGAGGGAAAGGGGTGCTCCTCCTTTTAGTAGAAAAGTCCATTCTTAGCTACTGGGCAGATTATCCAGGGGTTGCTTCTGTCTCTGTAGGGGCCCCTGTGGCATCAAAAATGTGAAGTAAAACAGTAGAACCTACTAATTATCCTGCTGGCCATAGGCAGTGACGCCCTTTATGAGAATAGCAGCCATCAGTTAAATACTATAATTCCAAGGATGCAACATTACCATGTGGTCGTTAAGCATGCCCAGGTCCAGCTGCTGTGTAACCTTTCTAAGGACAGAAGGAAGCAAAGGCAGCTTTCCCTTGCTGGCCAGCTCATGCCGCTGGGTGAAGATGCACATCATGGCTTGGCTATGATTCCCTGGAGTGTCTGGAACTCTAGGAAGGGCTGGATGGGTCCTGTCTGCATCTCCCACAGAATGGTTGGCACAAAATACCCTGCCAATGTTGAGTAATCTTAGGGGTTACTGGACAGAGGTCTCACTGATCTGAGAGGACCTCGGGAGGATGGGCCAGCAGTCCAGTGGGTCTGCTTCCCTCACTTGCTAGGCTTTCTTCTGTGGGACCAGGACCAGAAGACCATACCAGAGAACTCTGGGGGTCCCAGGTACCCCACTCCTTTAAGACCCAGAGTCTTTCAGGACTAGAGGAAGATGCTGGCAGCCCTGGCATTTCCCATTGGCAGAGAGGTAGGGTGGGGAGAGGGAAGCTCCTCTCGGATTCCAATTGGACAATGAATGTTCCAGTTCAGTGGGTTCCACAGCTGCCATGGCAACCCCATTTAAAGGGCCAGCTTCTAGAAGGGCTCAAAGGGTGCCCCTTGTGAGCAACTAAAAGGTTAAACACTTAGTGTGGACACCAGAAACCCAGGGATCTGTGCCCCTTTAGCAATTTCTGTACCTGTGGGTTTACTTTCCAGCTCTGCTGAGGTCAGTGTGGGTCCCCTAATGGGCAGGCATCATCCTGGCCCCCTTAGCTCTGTGCAAGGGCAGAGGCAAGGTATACGAACTTCTGAAGTTGGTGGGCAGCTGCATGTGTGAACGTACTGTATGGCTGGTACTGGCCTATACTACAGGTTGAATATTGTGGGTGAACCTTCTTTCCCCATGCACACCTGTGTGCACGTGTGCACCATGGTTTATGTGTATATGAAGCAGAGGCAAAGACCCTCCTGGAGTTCCTAAACATGTGTGCCTGGCATGGCTCCCATCTCTAGCTCCTTCCAGGAAGGTGGTGGTGTTATTTCACAGCACAGAGGGCAGCCTTCTTAAGCCTTGGGACATAATGAACAGGCAAAGGCTTTACCTAAACCAGGTTCCATGCCATTCTGGGTTCCCAGCTCCTGTGTGCCAGGCAAAGACCCTCTCCCTGACCCTGGTGAGGCTGCTGCCATGAACCTGGGTGCCAGCCCACTGTCCAGCCCAGGCCTAGAGCAGAGGAGCTGTGTCAGCCCATGGCAGCTCCTTGTGGGCAGGGCTGCTGGCTGTGAACAGAGTGGGTGTTGTCAGCCCTCCAAGGAAATCAGAGCTAGGCCAGATCCTGCCTGGCGGGTCTGTCACACCCAGCTTGGTTTACACTTCCAGTGAAACCGGCCCCTCTGGGCTCTGGATGGAGCCTGGCCTCAGATATCAACGCCCTGAGGACCTAGCCCTGAGCTTTCACATGTGGAGGGAAGGCATGGGTTGTGGTGTGGAGACACCCTCAGCAGTATCTGCCTAACCTAGGGTGCCAGCAAGACCGGGCTTGTCCTGCCAGCTCAGGGTGCAGAGTTCTCTGGGTGCCTGGCCACTCTCCTTAGGGGGAAGTGATTTTTGGGGTGGTAAGAACCTCACCGGGGGTAGGGTACTGTCTCCCTGCTGCTACCTTGCTGTGTGACTATAGCTAATCCTCTGACCCCCTCTGACTCTGTCTCCTCCTGGTCTTCTGGGACCCTTTCCATTGTGATATACTTGGTTCCAGGTTTCCTGCCCAGGCTCCTGGGAGTGGAGAACCAGAAGGTGGATGCTGAGATTTAGTGGGCATACAGGAAGGGTGTCCCAGGGGCTGGACAGAGACAGCAGGAGCCCCACCTCTGGCCCTCCTCACTCCTGGCTCAAATGTTACAGATGCCGGGTGCAGGAAGAGGTCACCCTGGTCCCCAGATACAGGTCAGCTGGGGCTTTCTCAGGTCCCCAGTGTCTTGGGACCCACCTCTAACCACAAGACAGGCTGTCCAGTTGTGTGCAGTGACCTCTGGCTTTTCTGGGTTCTTTTTTGCTTCCTTTGCTTTTTTTTTTATCTTTTTCATTTTTCGGTGCTGGGAGAGCAGCCCCTTACATCTGCCCTCTGCCCTAACATCTCAACTCTGGAACCCCTACTGCCCTCATCTTGAAACCGCATGAGAAATGAGTGGAAGAGACTCAGGCTGAGAAACCCAGGGCTGGAAGCATTTATTTTTCTTCTTTCTTTGTAGAGGAAGGACCTACTCCATCTCTACATCAGTCAGGGCCTTGGCTCCTATCTCAAGGCCTGGCCCACCTGCCTACAGGTCTGACAGAGGAGCCCTGGATGGCCCCACAGGTGGATACACAGGGCTTCCCTGTCCTCCCCATCCCACCATCTGGGTTGGGTACCTGCCCCAGGGAATGAGGCTGCCAGGGCCTGAGCACCGTTTATCCAGGCTCCAAGGAGCAAGCTCCCCCACCCACCCCGAGTCCTCAGGGGTGCACTGACACTGCAGTAGCCCAAGATCCCCACATGCTGGCCCAGTGTGCTCTAGGCTTGCTCAGTCCTTAGCCCATCACAGTGGCCCTGGGGACAGACTGGTTCTCGATTCTCCTCCATCCCAACCCTGGGGGCACTACGGCCTTGTCTTCCCAGCACCATGTTAAATAGCTCCCTGGCAATCCCCTTAAATAACCATTTCTGAGCACCCACCCACCCTGTATCCCGAATATATTATTCTATTGGTGGATACCTTCTGGAGAGGAGGGGTTCCCCTCCTGCCCCCTGCCCCTGGAACACCATCTCCCTAAAGTCCCAGAGGTGGAAGAGGCTCCCAAGCCCTGGGCAGACGGAGGAGGCTAGGGGTGGGGTGGTAAAGCCTGGATCATCCCCTCTGTCCTCCCCTCTCCAGGGGTCTCTCCTCCTTTCCCTCCTGGCAACCTGGGTCAGAAATGACTTACCCAGTATCACAGACCCAGGACCAACCAGAGTCCTGACCCATCTAGGAGGTCACCCTGGCTTTGAAAGTCAAATCAACTCCAGGACAAGGGGCCTGTCTCAGCCACCTCTCACCTCGGCCCGGTGGTTCTCGAGGTTCTGTGAGCTGGGAGATTCCCGGCTCTTGACTCCAATCCATCTGGTACCTTGGGGCTGTTCCTGGCACCCACCACCTGGCCTTCCAGGTCTCGCTCCAGGAAAACTCACAGCGCCAGGGCACAGGAGCAGGGCCTACCAACCAGCACTACCCACCAGGCTCACACCCAGTACTGGCCATTCCTGAGGGCAGGGTTGGGTGTCCGGCAGAACTGCAGCAGCTCAGGGTCCGGCTGGCCTCTGGGTAGGGACCCCTGGCCGGGCACGGTGGTGAGCGGGATGGCCTGGCCCGGCTCTACCTTGCGGAAGGTCTCTGTGTCACCAACCAGGCCATTTCGGGGCTTGGCGGCCAAGACTTGGACATCATGCTTGCCAGTCTTGTTGCGCTTGCGGAGGTAGAAGAGCAGTGGCAGGATGAGCGCCAGGAGCAGCAGGACCAGGCACACGGGGACGATGACACTGAACATGTTTGCCTCCAGGAAGCCCAGGAAGCCACCCCTGGCCACAGCAGGCACTGGGCTGGACACCGCTGGGCCTGGCTCACCCGTGGGGGTGCTGCTGACTGGCTTCTCTGCTTCCGTTCGAGGAGCCTCAGGGACACTGAGCAGTACCACACTGTAGGGCCGGGCTGCATCATAAGGCTCGGTGGCAAAGTCCAGTGAGGCTATAGCAGGCGGGACACCCCTTGCCCACAGCTCCAGAGTGAGGCTGTCCTCTGCAGGCCTGGGTGTGGGGCCCTCTGGCCCGCTCACCTCCAGCCCCAGCCTTCCATCCTCCAGGTCCTGCTGTGTGAACCGGTCCACGGGCTGCTTGCTCTTGGGCTCTGTCTGTGTCCGGGGCACACGTACCACACGGCCGTGCCAGGGTCCTGCCACGAGCCGGAAGCGGGGCACGCTGCCTGTGCGGTTGGCCAGCTCACTGGCGTCCAGCACAGTGGAGTCCAGGCGCAGGGTGGTGCCCTGGGGCCATGGGCCATCTGCCCCTACATGCAGTAGGGCTCTCACGGTGATGTTCACCGTGGCAGATGTGTTGGCACCCCTGGCCTGTGCCAGGACTCGGAAGTGGTCATGAGAGGAGGAGAAGTTGGTGAAAGTGAAGATCACTTCCCCCTGGTCCACCTGGAGCTGGCTGAAGGCCGAGATGGGCTGACCACCCACCAGCAGTTGCCCGTACTGGGGCTCCTGGGTGAGGCGGTAGGTCGTGTCTGGTTCCTCCCGGTCTGAGACCACCCAGAGCTGCTGCCGGCTCAGCGAGGCATGCCCTGCAGCCTGAGGCACCTCCAGGGGGCTTTGCAGTTGCACCTCAATGGCAGAGGGCAATATGTCCACCGCCAGAGACATAGGCAAGGGTGGGCTGGCCCCGTCGGACACACTCAGCTGGAAGACACCCGGCACGCTGCTACCATTGGCCACGAAGGCCAGCCGCCCCGCATCCACATCGGCCTGTGTGAATCGGGTCACAGGCCCTGGGCTGTGCCCTGCCAGGCTCAAGAAGCCATTATGGGGAGCCCGCTGCACCTCATACTGGATCTCCCCAGGGTCAGAGTCTGGGTCCACCACACTCAGCTGGGCTCGGGAGACAGGGGCACGGGAGCCCCGGGTGAGCCGGAGTGCCACCGAGGCCTGTGGCTGGGGCGGGCGCTCATTCACATCCCGCACGGTGATGGCAAAGGTCTCTACAGTTTGGGGGCCCACCATGAAGACCCCCGCTGGGCCCTGGAGGTGGGCGCGGAAGCGGAAGCCATCTTGCTGGGTGCCTCCACCACTGTGGGCATACACCAGCTGCCCTGTGGCCAGCTGACTCTGCAAGAAGTATGGGCTCCCCATGTGGAGGGGCTCTTCAGACAGCAGCAGCTGGCCCCGGGTGGGGAACTGTGTCACCTGGAACAGCACATCGTGCTCGGGGCGCTGAGGAGTGGGAACGCTGGCCAGGAGGTTGGAGGCATCCAGGGCGGCCACAGTGATCTTGGCCCGCTGGCCCTCAGGGACCCATAGACCTGCGGATGGGACATGGGCTATGAAGGTCCAGCTGCTGAGGGAAAAACTGTGAGCTCTGGGGGCGCCCAGGGCAAGGTGGTATCTCCTAGTGGGCTAAGTACTCAGGATGCGGCTCAGGACCCCTGAGAAGACAAGGAGTGCGTCCAGCCTGATCTCAAAGCCTCTGACCCAGCTCCCCACAACTCCATGGCACTGGCAGAAGCCACCAGTCTGGCAGTCTCTCTCCTCTGGGGGCCTCTCCCCATGCCCCCCACCCCAACCTTGCTGCTTTTTGAGCTGTTCACCTTTGTTTCTCCAGAGGCGGCTGGAGCGCTGGGAACAGGCAGCCTCAAATGACACAACCACAGCCAGCGTGATGGCCACGTCCGGGGCCGGGGGCGAGGATAGCAGGAGCTCTATGGCATCGTGGGCTTCCCAGAAGGGCTCAGGGGACAGCTCGTGCTCATACAGCACATTCCCAGCAGACACCTGAAGGGACATCGTGGTCAGGGGTGACAGCAGCCCAGCCTATGGTGCCCAGGAGCTGGTACCAGTGCCAGGTCTGTGTGTATCCTGCTTTCTGCCTCACTAGCTCAGGGATTCACAGGAGGCCATTGTTTGGCAAAGCTACGTGTCTGCGCTCCACCCGGCTCTGTGGGCTGGCAAACTCTGATCCCTGGCCTCTGGGGACTTGACCCTTTCTCCCAGGCAACGGCCCCTCCCCTCCTACTGACTGAGGACACCGTACCAGCATCCTCCCTTCCTCCCCCTCCTGTCAGTTTCCCCAAACGGATGGTCTCTTTGTTATGCTATTGCACTATTCCTTCTGTGGCACCTGGGGTGGTCCTTTTGCTCCCTGGGGTTCCCTCTTCTCTCACTCCTGCTGCCCAGCTCTTCCCCTTGGTCCTGTGGCATGGTCCCAGGCTCTGTTTTGTCTCAGGCACCCCATGTGCTCTCAGAGCCTCACCCCATCTGGACCTCTCAACTCCAGACTCAGATTCCCACCCTCATGCTCAGCGGCTCTGCCCCTGTAGAGTCCACTGATGTCACAGACCCCACTGGCCTGGGGATCCTGCTCAGTCAATGGTTTAGGCAAAACCCTGGCTCCTCTTCACCCCTGGATTGTGGTAACAGCTTCCCAACTGTGTCCCAGCCTTGCCCTAAACGTGAGAGTCAGGGGAGCCTTTTAGATGCAAGGTGAGCTCACTCTTTTTCCTGCTGAGGTGAAGTCTCCCTATGTTACCCAGGTTGGCTTTGAACTCCTGGACTCAAGCCATCCTCCTGCCTCAGCCTCCGGAGTAGCAGGAACTAAAAGCATGCTTGTTAGATTACTCTTCTACTCTGGTGTGAGGCCCCATTACCACGGTTACTCTGTGATCTCAACTGTCCTTCCCACAGTGACTCCATGCCAGCCATACCTGCTGTCCTGCAGGGGCCAAAGCAGGTGAGCAGAGGCAGTTGCATCCCCGCCTATGCTCTCCTCAGGTCAGATCAGTGGTGGCATTAGATGCCAGTAGGGATCTGGGTCCCAAACACTTCTGGAGCCACCCTGCAGCCAGCAGCACCCCACACCTGTTCACGGAAGCCCTGTCACCCACCAGACTGGGAAACCCATCCCCGGAGCCAACAAGGTGGAGGACTGCTGCTTTCGGGCCACTCGCCTGCCAAGCACCGCGACCCATCCTTCCCTTCTGTAAGCAAATCTGTCCCCTTCCCTTTGGGTCTGCTGCGTCCCCTCAGCTTAGCCTTCGTTTTCCCCTTCAAGAGCCACAGGGAACAATTTTTCTTCTCTCAGAAAAACAGGGCTTGTGCAATAGGGAGATGGGAAGTGGCTTGCAGTGAGTGGATTCTCCAGGACTGTGCTGGGCAGGAGTGAGCGGGCTAGATGGGAGCAGGGCCATGTGAAGGGAGCAGGTGCTTCTCCACAGGACGTAGGCCTTGTAAGAAATGAGTCGAATTTCTTGAGTGATGAGTGAAATGAGAAATTTCTCAAGAAATGAGTGAAATCTCCCAAGAGTTCTATGTTGACAATTAATTCAAAAATACGAAACGCAATGTGTGACCAAATGAAACACATCTGTGGGCCAGATGTGGCCTGCAAGGATGTGGTACTCAGGTTGATGGGCAGCAGAGGGGCATAGAGACCCCAGTAGTGGCCACGGAGCCTGGAGGGGAAGGAGGGGAAGTTAGACAGCACAGCTCTTGCTGGGCCCTGGCTGTGGGGACACGCAGCATCCTCAGGGGACAGAATCTCGCCATAGCAAGCGGGAGGTGTCATCTTGGTTTGCTCTGAATAAAGCTACCGACTTCTGTGAGCCTCAGTTTCCTTATCTGCACAGTCGTGACACCTGATCCTCCTCCCCAGCTCCAAAGACTGCAGGACAGTCCTGCCTGGTCCTGCCCACTGGAGGAGGGTGTCTGCCGCTTAGCTTTTCCCTGGTCTTCCTGGTGGCACTGCCAGCTGGGCCCCCTGGTGGCCATTCAGTCTGCCTTTCCATCATTGCTGGGGTGCAGGGAAGCTCTATTTCAGGTGGGGACCAAGGACTGGGGAGGGTGCTCATGGCCTGGTCTTGTTCCTCCCTTTCCTGGGCAAGGCTGTGATTCAGGGGACACTACTGCAGCCATAACCTGCTGAGTACTTCATTGTGGGCTGCTGGCAGGAAGGGGCTGCAACAGGAGGATGGGCACTGAGCCCAGGGTACCAATAGGACAGACCCTGGGCAAAGCCATGTCCTTCCCCATCTGAGCTGCTGGCTGGGGTGGGGGCTTTGTGGGAGTGGGCTGGCTTCAGGAGGTCTCTGGGAACCAGGGAAGTGGGAGTCACTTGGGGGAGGCTCTGCCATTTCTGAGGGCCAGATGGGCCCCTCTGGGGTGCTTGGAGTCGTGCCATAGCACCTGAGAGGCAGAGTCAGCTTCATGCCCCCAAAGGCCTTTCCTCACCCAGACTAATGGGGACCCAGCCCCTTGCGTGCAGGGTCAGGTGCAGGTCAGAGCAGGGGAGGAGCCACCCTCTCTGCTTATCTTGGCGGAGCTTCCGAATAATGCACCTTCCGAATAATGAATGGATGGACAGGTAGATGGAAGGATGGGTGGATGGACAGATGGACATTGGTTTCCTCCCCACTTGGCTGCCTCTGCTGCTCCTGGTGGGAGTCCCAGGATGGATCCTAGCTCTGGCTGGCAGCCTGACCTCCCATCTTTCCCCTGCCTGCCTGTTGCTGGGCACTCCTGGAGCAGGGCACACTGGCTGATCCCAGGGTGAACCGCAGCCACCCAGGGGCTGGTGACATCTGCATGGTGGCTATAGGGTCAGCCGGCCCTTACCTCGGCCTGAGTAAAGTTGACTAGGGCCTCAGTGGCACTGCCCCGCTGGGTATGGAGCAGCCGGCCAAGCTGGGGACCACGTAGCACATGGTACAGCAGGTGGCGGGGGTTGGTGCCTGAGCTGGAGGTGGCATTCAGGGTGTGGCTGCTGAGTGGCTGGACGGACTCTGTGCAAGAGAAAGGCACAGGGACCATGAACTATGACCAAGGCCCGCAGCCCCCAAGAGAGTGTGGGCACCCTCGGCTCTGCCCCAGTACCTAGGCTCACCTGGACAGACGGTCAGTGTGCGGGTACCCTCCAGTGACAGCCGCACCTGCTTCTGGGCCATTACACGGAAGAAGTGGTCAGAAGTCATGTGTTCACCGTCGGAGAAATGGAAGCGGAAACCTCCGTCCAGGGCTCCTGGGGACAGTGAGAGGTGGGTTCTGCTGCCTGGAATGGAGCCCACCCTCCAGGCCCCCATGGCCTCAGCACCCACCTCTGTGCGAGAACAGCACCAGTCCACCGTCCAGCTGGGCCTGGGTGAAGCGCTGGACCTCGGTGCCTGGTGCCTCCCGTAGCACCACCTGTCCGTTGCTGGGCCGCTCAATGGTGTAGACCAGGTCCTCGGGCTTTGAGTCACCATCTGTGCCCCGCAAAGCCTCGGCAGGGATGGGCACGGTGGTCCCCTCCCATAGCTGAGGGCAGAGCCTGTGAGGGTCCCAATCCCCCCATCCCTTCCCAGGCCTGTGCCACCCTGCACTACCAGCACGAAAGGTTTCCCACACTACTCACCTCCCCTGTCACCTCAGGGCCTCAGGTTCCCTCCTTGTCATCTGACCTAATCCTGCTTGTCCCCCAGGCCAGCTTGTGTACTTCAGCTGGGAATACCCCTGCTCATTTTGTTTTGTTTTATTTGTGTTTTGAGACAGAGCCTCACTATGTAGCTCAGACTGGCCTCAAACTTGTGGTGATCTTCCTGCCTCAGCCTCCTGATTGCTAGAATGACAGGTGTGCACCACCATGCTTGGCTGGGAAAGCCCTGCTCTTACCCTACAAAGTTCTCACCCCGAAACCCCAGCCCTGTTCAGCAGTGCTGTTCAGCCCAGCTCTGTCTCACTGACAGGGTGAAGTCTCTCTGGGACAAAGTGGGTGGTGGCTGTGGCTGGCCCAGGTCACTGAGAGACCACCTCTCCTGCAGTGGGGGTGGGCAGAGGCCAGGAGAGCCAAGACTGATTGACGGCTGCTCACTGTCCTGTGTGCAGTGAAGGAGGACCTGCAGGCCTCCCACCCCAGCGGCAGCATGCTGTCCTTTGGTCTGCTCTGTGGCGTCTCTTAGGGGACCTCACCCAGTAAAGAGCCCCAGGACCCTTGTGCTCCTTCCTCTTAGGGCCAGGAAGATGAAGTTGCAACACCGGGACCACAGGGAAGCAGACACGGGTGGATGACCCCACCTGGTGGTCATACATCCACACAGCAGCCTGGCTGTGATCCCAGGTAGCATTTGGGATGAACTGCATCCTCTGCTCTCGCCTGGAACTTCCCACACTGCTGTGCTCCTGGGCTTGGTCAAGCCGCTTACCCCTTCTGTTCCACCATTGTCTACTTTTGTGACCATGAGTTTCTATCCCATCTGGGCCCCAACTTCCACCTATGGAGAATGGGGTTCCTCTGAGTCACAGGAGAGCCCAGCAGAGGCTGTCACTATGGGGGTGGAGGTGGGGATTTCACTGGCTCCCCAGCAGCCCACCCTCAGTGATTGTAAGATATTTTGCCAGGCATGTTGGTCCTGAGTCATAGAAAAAGCCACCTGCTACAGGTCAGTCCAGCAGCCATTCACAAGGCTATCCATTGCACTTGCAAGTACTCAATAAAAAACGCTGGTACCTCTTTTTCCACACCTCTCCTTTCAATAACCTAGCGAGGCATGCGATGGTAATCCCATTTTGCCGGGCAGGAAACAGGCCCAGAGAATGCCGGGAAATAGGGCTGAGGAGCAGAGGTGGATGTATTCCCTAGGGTGCTCTCACCTGCAGGCCCGTGTTTGTGGTGAGGACAGGGGGCTGGTCATTAACGGGAAGGATGGTGATGGTGAAGGTGACTGGCTGGCTCTGGCGGCCCATCTCCGAGGCATTGGCCACCAGGACGAAGCTGTCGGTCAGTGTCTCACTCCCATCATGCACATATCGGATCTGCTGCCCTTCCACCTGCAGGCAGTGGGGGGCGCTCAGCAGAGCACGTGCGCGCACCCTGCTCTGGTTGCGGGAGGAGCTGACTCCTGAGCCTCAGTAAACGGGACAGCAGCCCAGTCCCCAGAGGGCTGGAGAGGAAGCTGAGGGCAGAGAGTGGGTGCTCCCCACACATGGACTCACCCCTGCCCCCAGGGATAACCACCATGCCTGTGGGAAGACATCCCATGCACATGTGCGGTACCTCTCTCCAGGAGAAGGTGTCGAGGGTTCTGTGTCCGGGCTGCTCCTCCCTCTGCAGGGCCCCGTGCCGGGGTGACTCCAGGACCCGCATGTCAAGGCTGGGCAGGGTGGGGAAGTAGGGCCCTGTGACTTGGAGCAGCGGCGGGGCCAGGGTGCGGGTGCCACCCTCGGGGACACTGAAGTTCCTCCCCTCCAGGGGGATAGCAGCAGGTAGCACCTCCACCTCCATGCGGATCCCCTCCAGGGGGGCACCCAGGCCTGAGGCCACATCCAGGGCGAAGGTGTCACTCCAAGCCCCAGGGCGGGAGTGCAGGTAGAGGACCCTGCCTGCCGTCACCGCCTCCTGGGAGAAGCTGTGTACTGGGGTCAGGCCGGGCCGCCCGGCCGCCGCATGGGACACCATCACCAGATAGCCTGCACTCGGGGGACTCCTCACTGAGAACATGATGTCTACGGGGGGCACCCCCTCCTGGTCTGCCTGTCAACAGAGATCATGGGGACTCAGGTTACCACAGAGGAGCCTGACACGGACCCAAATAGCAGGACAGGCTCAACCTCCACGCCCCTCCTTCCCCGGCACTGCAGCTCATACCGAACACTCAGACATGCAGATCCCCTCATCATACACACACACACGAATGCACATGCACAGGCAAACAGCCATACAGAGACTCTCCTGCTCCATCCACCCTGGGGCTGCTTTGCCAGAAGTCTTTGGCCAGCAATACTGCTATTCTAGACTTTAACCACCAGAGGGCACCCGGCTCTTCCTAGTGGCCCAGGATCACCCAAGGCTGCGGGTCCCTGCGCTTCCTTCCTGAAGAATATGATAAGGCAAGAGGCTACCAACCACCACTGGACACACATCTCAGTTTCTGTGCCTCTGCTGGTACAAACTCTTGTCTGGGATGCCACCCTATTCTCTGCCATTGACACCTTCATTTTTAAAGCTGGGTTCAATGTTGCCCTTCCAGGGTTAGGGCTTCCAGACACCAGGCTTGTTGTTCATAGTCTGCTCAGAAGTCCAGACACTGGGCACCAGAAGGGACTCAGAAACTGGCAGTGTGAAAGCTGGGCACAGTGGTGCACACCTGTAGTCCCGGCACTCAGGATGCTGAGGCAGGAGGATTATTGCAAGTTTGAGGCCAGCCTGGGCTACATATCAAGACTCTGACTCAAAAAAATAAAACAAACGAAAAACAAACAAACCAACATGGCAATGTGGGAGAAGAAGGGGACCGGCCCAAGGTCACACAGCCAGTCAGGGAGCCTGTGGATGGCTTGGTGGCTCTGTGCAGGTCCTGGGTGGATAAAGCCCCTCATAGCCCCCACAGCCCTGGCATGGGGTCTAGAAGGGAGCTCGGGATGTGGGGATCTGCACGGCTCCCTCAGCATGTGTGTGCCTGACATCCTGAGGCAGATGTGTGTGGAGCAAATTCCTGAGCGCTTGGGGCCCACAGCACACACAGGTGCAAACCCAGGCTCACCCCATCACACTCCAGATACAGCATGCTCGGCAAGGGGCGGGGACCTGGCCACACTCTGCACGCCTCACCTCCAGCTGGTCCTGTTTGATCTCAGCCGCCTCCCCCTGGAAGACGTAGATCTTCTCATGCCGGACCAGCTGCAGCAGAGCTGGTGGGCTGTCGAGGGCGATGGTCACCTGAAGGGTAGCTTCTGTGCGCATCGGTCCTGCTTCCACAGACAGGCCCAGTGCATCTCGGGGGCTGAGGCTGCCATTGTGGCTGTAGAGGATGGTGCCGTCCAGCAGGTCCTGCTGGGAGAAGGTGGTGGCTGGCTGACCAGCGCGGAGCAGCTGCCCCCAGTGAGGGCCACCTGTGATGTGGTAGTGGACCTCGTCCCCACTGCGGATGTCCAGGTTGGTGTCCAGAGGGAGCACAGCAGTGTCGATGGTGCCCTGGCCTCCCTGAGGGACCACGAGGCTGGAGCCGTTGGCCACATGGAGGAAGGGCTCTGAGGCCTGCACCTCAAGCATGGCGGTGGCCTGGTGCTGCCCATCAGACACCTGCAGCTGCAGCCAGCCGTGGTCGGCCCCCGAGTGCACAAACAGGACCCTCTGCTTCCTTAGGTCCTCCTGGGTGAAGCGGTAGATGGGCCGTGTGGGCTCGTCAGCGGCCACGATACTGCCGAACAGGAGGTCCTTGCGGGTCAGCACCAGCTGGGCGTCAGAGAAGCCCGAGTCTGCGTCGCTGAAGGCCACATCCTCTGTCGTTAGCAGCCGCTGCCCTCCCCGGGCCACATGGAACACACGGCTGACGGTCTGCACGGGGGCGTGGTCATTCACTGGCTGGATAGCCACGCGGAAGACACCTCGGACCTCCTCCCAGGCCATGTCGCCACTGCCCTCACCCTGGCGGGTGGCCACAAATGGGATGTCGTCTTCGGTGGTCTCGGAGTCGTCGTGCTGGTAGAGCAGCTGGCCGAGCAGCAGGTCTTCGTTGGTGAAGGATGTCACCGTGGTGGTCTTGTCCTGCGGCCCCCGCCATGCCAGTCGCCCATGGCGGGGCCGCTCCATGACCTCATAGAGGTAGCTTGTGCTGTTGAGGCTCTTGACGAAGAGGTGGTCAGAGGAGAGGACAGCCTCCCCACCCTCGGGCACCAGGAGGAGGACGTTGGTGAGGACAGGAGCATTTGGGTCACCGCCAATATGGATAGGGAAGGTGTAGAGGGGCGAGAAGTGTGGTGGTGCCATGACACGGAAGCGGAAAGTGTCCCTGACGGCCTCGGAGGTGCGTGCGGTGGCTGCATAAGTCACGCGCCCAGCCTGCAGGTCGTCTTGGCTGAAGCCCTGGCCAGCTGACACCCTCGTGCCCTGCAGCTGCAGGTTCCCTTTCCTGGGGGCCTGGACCACCTCGTAGCGGAAGCTGCTGGGGCTCAGACCGGTTGCCTCTTCCACAGCAGCCTCCAGATGGGCCGTGGTGAGGGTCTCTGGTTGCGTGGTCTGCGTGTGCAGTGGCTCCAGCCGCAGCATCCACACGGTGGCCCTCTGGATGGTCACGGGGAAGGAGAGATTGCGCAGGGTCTCCTGGCCCACCTGCACCTCCAGCACCAGGTTCTCCACGGTGTCCTGGGCACGGTGCTGTGGATCAGTGCTCAGGTACCGCACACGGCCCTGCTCCACGTCCCGCTGGTGAAAGGCCTGTGCAGCCCACCATTCGGCACCCTCTGCACCGCCTGCCCCCTGCTTCTGCAGCTCCCCAAACTGTAGGGAGCCTGCGACTCGGAACAATATGCTGACATCCTGTCCCACAGCGTTGGTCTCCACCGTCAGGTTGGCAGGCAAGATGGGTGCGGCAGAGCCCTGTGCCAAGCGCAGCCCTGTGCTGTGGCGGATCTGGATGGCTGGCCGCATGGCCACTACCTTCAGTGTGGCCGGGGCGCTGGCCTGCAGCCCATCGCTCACCCGGAATGTCAGGGCCTGCGCGGGGCCACCCCGGTGGACATAGACAATGTCACCCACCTCCAGCTCACGGCAGGAAAACTCAGGTGCCGGCTCTCCTGGGCGGTCCCAGTGTTCCACAGGGAGCCCGGCTAAGTCTCCCAGGAGCTGGAAGGTGAGGCTTTCGCAGGCAGAGTCTGGGTCATAGGCCTGGAAAACCTCAGGCCCCAGCGGCTTTTGAGTGTGCTCCAGAATCACCATGAGGCTGCCGTGCGGGAAGATGACTCGGGGCGGGTCGTTAGCGGGGTTGACCTGCACGGGCAGCAGGTAAGTCTGGCCCCGCCGCAGGCAGGAGGGCATGGGCACCCGCGCTGTCACCATCACCTCTAGCACCAGCTGGTCGGAGGGGTCCTCGGCGCCGTCATGGACAAAGCGGACCTTGTGGTTGACCACATCCAGCAGGGTGAACATCTGCCGCGCCTGGGCACCGGGGATGTCCAGCTGCAGCTCGCCGTGCCGTGCACCCCTGCTCACGCTGAACAGCACCTGGGACTTGCGCAGCTCAGCCTCCTGCAGGTCTAGTGTGGGCTGCACATGCCGCCACTCCAGCCAGGCCGTGCCACCCTCCGCCACCACCAGTGGGCTGATGGTCAGCAGCTGGGTAAGGTTGGTGAAGACAGGGGGCAGCCCAGGTTCGGGGACACACGGCTCAGGCAGCTCCACTGCCGGCCATGCCTCTGGTGCCTGGGTGGACAGCGCCTCGTAGGAGCCATAGGCATCATCCTCGTACTCGTCTTCCTCTAGCCTGCAGCCGGCCGCCAGATCACGGGTCAGCACAGCATGGCGGAGCCCCTGCCTCTGGCCGTTGACGCTCAGGTCCTCTAGGCAGCCCAGTAAGGAGGTGTTGGCAGTGCCTGGAGCCAGGCCCAGGCGGTGTTCCTGGAGGTGGCGGGCAGCCTCTGTGTCCAGTCCCCCGAGGAGGAGGCTGCCGCGTGGCTCTAGGTAGCTGAGGACCCCGCGATTGGAGGTGCGTGTGGGGTACTGGTCCACGGAGATCTCCAGGCGGTGGGCATCCATGTGGATGCTGACCTCATGGGGCTGCCCGTCGGCTACGGGGACGCTATTGTGCAGCAAGACCGTGCCCTGGCCCTTCTCCACCACAGCTCGCAGGTGGCCCTCGAATATGTCTACATAGATGAAATCCCCATGCTGGCCTCCTGCCTGGAAGGCCAGGGGCGCGTGCTGGCTCCTTGTGGTAAGTGTGAACTCCAGGGTGCCCTTGTCCTGAGTGCTCCAGGCTGGGAAGGCTGCCAGTGAGTGGGGCCCAGAGAAGCCCAGGGCCACGTTGTCCCCAGCTGAGAACTCTTCAGCGCAGCCCTCTGGCACATCGGGGGTCAGCGGGAGGAGGAGGCTACGGCCATTGAGGGTGGCGGTGAGGAGACAGCCCCGTAGGGGTCGGCTGGCCCCTCTCAGGTAGGGCAGGCTCAGACTCCCAGACCCTCCGACAAAGAGCCCATAGGGGACACTGAGGGGGTCTCCTGGGACCGGGGCGGAGGAGTTGAGAACCCTATCCACCGAAAGCATGGCCCAGCCATCTGAGACACTGAGCACCACAGTGTGGGGGACAGAGTCGCTCAGCAGTTCCTCTGCTGGAGTCTGCAGCCTTATCTCCTCCTGGCCCAGGACGAGTTTGACCTGAGGAGACAGCAGATATGGGCTGGGGAATGGCACTTCCCCGATACAAGCACAGCAGGCCCCCTGGCCAAGGGCTTTCTGTCCACCTCTTTCTGTCAGCATGAACTCAGCCAGGCCTTGATGGCCTGGGGACCCTGATGTGAGCTAGTGTAGTCCTTAACCACAAGGTACAGGCTCAGAGTAGGATTCCTCTTTATCTTCCACAGGGATGGTTGGAAAAATGTTTAAATTAAAAAATTTATTACAGTAAGTGACACATTACTATTAATGTCCCTCAAGGTCCTCCTCCTCACTTCGAACACACTCATCCCATTGTCCTTGCCATTTTCTGAAGCACATCTGCAAGCCTTCTTTCCCATGTGTCTTTCGTTGTGCTGTTGTGGTGGCCTTAATATCCTGAATCCATTCTAAACATCTCCTTTTCATTGTCATTTTGACTTTGGGGAAGAACTAGAAGTCAACTGGTGGCAAATCCAGTGAATAAGGTGGATGAGGACACAGCATCTTTTTTTTTTTTTTTTTTGGTACCTGGGATCGAACTTGGGTCCTTGTGTTTGCAAGGCAGGCAGCTGAACCACTGAGCTAAATCCCCAGCCCAGCATCAGGTTTTTAATGAGCTTGTCTTTCTGCTAGTGGTGTGCAGCAAGGCAGTCACTATATTTCTGATCACACCTCATAAAGACAGAAAGGACTCCAGAGCTGCTGCAGAAAGTGGCAAGGAGATGGGATGAGTGTATTTGAAGCAGGGTAGAGATTCTGAGGAAGACTCATGGCAATGTGTCTCACTGCAGAAAATGTGGACATTTGTGATATATTTTGAACCTATCCCATATGTGCTGGGGTCGTGACTGGGTGGTAAGTACTTGCCTGGCATGGGTGAGGCTCTGGGTTCAACCCCAGCATAAAAAATTCAACTTGTACATTAAACCCCCCTAGAATCAGGGAAATTCTTCCTCTGGAATACTGGGTTCCTGGGAATCTCCAATGGGATCTGAAGGGGGGCAGAATACCATGAGGCTCACAGCTCAGAGACAGGGTTGTCTGATACTCGGGGTTTTAGAGTTTAGTCAAAGAGCTCACGAGCTGGGGCAGCTCAGGGGTGAGTGCTTGACTGGTTTGAGGACCCCAGGCTCAAAAGCAAAACAGAGAAGCTCCCTGACTTGGGGGGTTCTTCATGACATCAGTACCAGAACTGACTCTGGGACACCTTTCAGACTGGAGAAGGGGTGGTGGGTGAGCTGGAAGCTGGGAGCCAGCGGGCCAGTGCCTAGCTCTATAGAGTGGCCATTATGGCCCTGGCACAGCAGAACCTGGCCTGGGCCCAACAGTGACACCTTGTGGCAGTGGAAGTCAACTGTGGACTGTAGCAGCAAACTGAACAGGCTGCCGCCATCCTGTTCCATTGGTGTGGAAGCACGTGGCCCCCTAAAAGGAGCATAATGGTAGGGGGACTCCCAGAAGCCCAGGGGAGGGGACATAGGCCAGTGAACAGGGGAATTCACTGAACGAGGGGATGTTCACATGGCCTCAGCTCCATGCAGATGTCGAGGATGGGCAGGGGCGCAAGGCCTGCGGTGGGGAACTGCAGGTGGTTGGGGACAGGGAGCTAGCTGTTCAGGGCCCTTGGAGCACAGAGTGCTGGCTTGGGATTGCGGTGATAAATAAGGCAAGGTAGTCACACTCCTTGGGAGGCTGCTGTCTCCTGATGGTGGAGAACATGAGACCCCAAGATGGCCACTAGAAGCCAGAGTAGGACTCCTGTCCCCATCCCCATCCCTGGATGGCACTGACCTGCAGGCGTCCCTCATGGAGCTGCAGCAGCAGGTGATCATCCTCCCCGGCTGCCAGGAGGAGCAGGGCCTCGGGCTGGGCTGTGGAGAACTGCAGCTGCAGGTCGAAGTCGGCCAAGGCCACGGCCACGGGCACCTCAAGGTGGCTCTCGCCAAAGAAGGAGGCTGGAGACAGAGGGCTGGGGTCAAGACTTGGATGTGGGTTGCAGGGAGGGCTCAGGCTCATGACCCTCAGGGTCCTCTGGGGTGATACTGCTTGTGGCCACCAGCAGGTCACAGCTAGTGGACCGGAGAGCACGGCCTCAGCTCTGTGCACTCCAGACCTGGCTGTGAAGGTACTGACATTTCCATCAGCTCAGGCCTCCTTTCTGGAAGTTCCTAGGGCCACAGACCCCTACCACTCCTGCTCCCTAGGCCCCAGAGGAGCCTCAGTTTGGGGTTTGGCCCCCAAGTGGCCCAAGCGGAAGCCATTCCTGATCTGGTCACTGGCTTGGTGGTCACAGCCCCTGAGACTGGTCTCCTCCCATGCTCCCTCTGGATGCTCTTCCATGTGGGCTCCCAAGCATCCTGGCTGTGCTGTGCTCCCCTGCCAGTCAGCCAGGGCCATGGAGGTGCCTGGTGCTGGTGCTCAGACAGATGGCCCCCACCCTTCCCTTCTCTCAGGCCTTCTTCCAGGTGTTATGGGCAGGGCCCGGTCTGAGTCAGCCAAGAAGCGGGACTCCGAGGTCAGGTGGCTCGGAGGTCAGGTGGAGACCACGTGTCCAGGACAGCTGGCGGACTTCCTCCACTCCCTGCTATTGCTTCCTGCTGCGGAGCTATTACCAGTCCCTGGGGGGAAAGGGCGGATCCCACCCCTTTTCCATCACCACTTAGGACCCAGGGATAAGAATCCTTGACTTCTTCCTTCTCAGGCCAAGCCCTGGCCTGGGAGGAGCTGGGGGTCACTGGGTAGCCACAGGGCCTCCCCAGGTTGCAGGCCAGGGCTGGGTGGACACTGGGGAAGGCTCCTCAGTACCAGTTCCTCCTTGTAAGTTGCTTCGTCCTGCAGACAACTTCCTGAAATCAGCCCCCTTGATCTCCAACATGCTGCCGTGGTTCCTGGGTCTATCCTGCTGCAGTGATTAGAACCCAGTATAACCTTGACTCTGTTTGCAGGTGGCAGGGGCTGGGGCAGACAAAAGGGGACTCATCCCTGCCTGTTTCCCTGAAACTCCTCGAGCGGCAGCGCAGGCTGCTGGCCTTAGTCGGAACTATCTGGCACTGGCTATATGCACACTGGTCCCCAGCCAGCCAACGCCAGCTGACATCCGCCCAAGGAAGTGGCATGTGCCTTCCATGCTCCAGGGCTGACGTCGGAGACAGACAAGTCTTCTCTTTCCCCAGGCTGGGCTGAAAGCCCCTGTGGCATCACCTTTTGCCGGGCTGAGGGGGACCTCAGCACCTTGTCTAAGAGCTAAAGTCAGAACTAGAAACACCAGGGCAGGTACAGCTTGTGGCCAGCCCTAGTGTGCTAGTAGGAGGCCAGTAGGGGCAGACCAGGGACCTGTGGCTGTGGGGCCTTGTCTACAAGGTCACTGTTCCTTTTCTTTTCTTTTCTTTTCTTTTGAGACAGGGTCTTACTATGCAGCCCAGCCTGGCCTCATAATCAGTGGTGATCTTCCAACCTCAGCCTCCTACAGTACTGGGAATCACAGGCATGTGCCACCACGCCCTGCCCAAGTTCATTGTTTCTTAGGAGCAGACCACAGCATGCCCATGGAGTGGAGCACAACAGAGAATATGGAGCCCTTGGAGGGCTGAGTGGCTCACAGCAGCTGGCAAGAGCTGAGTGCTATACTTCCAGGGATTTGGGAGCCAGGTGATGTTGCCCACAGTGGGAAGTTTATACTCTGGAGAGAGGTACATGTGGCACACTGGGGCTTCTCCACCCCCATGAAGCGTGTCGCTAACCACTGACCCACCTGCCCAGCAAGGAAGGCACCTCTCCCTCCCACATAAGCTCACACCCAAGGTGGGTGTCCCCTCTCCTGAGAATGGCTGGACCAGGAAGGAACCAGAGTCTCTGGCTGCTCTAACCACTGACCCGCCCATCCTTCCCTGAGGGAGAAAGCGGAGGCCTGTTTGGCCTGAGTGGGGAGGGAGGCAGGAAGTGGGGGGCTTTCTGAGAGCTGGGTCTGAATGGACCCATTGAGGGGCTGCTTCCTGTGGGGCCAGGCGGGACAGGCTCACACTAGCGGCCTTGTACTGCTGGAGCAGGCCGGGCAGCCCCTGTCCCCCCACAGGCCCCTGAGCCCCACTGGCTGGGGTTTTGGAAACTCTGACAGTGCTGCTCCCTGCCTCCGTTCTCCTTCTGCCGCTCTTACCCACCCTGGGTGGACAGGAGTCAAAAGAGCTCAGACTCCCTGTCTTGGAGGTGGGACAGTTGGATGGGGCTTTGAATGGAGTGGAGTGCAGTAGAAAGAAGTATTGAGCTGGGAGAGGCGAAGGTGGCACAGAGGAAGAGGAATAGGCAGTCTCTGAAGTGGACAAGTGAGAGGCTGGCAGGGAGACCCAGGTCCACCTGCCACCCCCTAGTGGCTCTGAATGCCTCGAAGTAGAGGGAAAAGCACCCCAGGCCAAGCCAGGCCCAGGGGACACAGGAAGGGACAGGCTGTATGAGGCCTGTTGCCAACTCCCCAGGATCAACAAGACCCAAGTTCATCAAGACTCCAATTCAGCCCTGCAGCAGCCGGGCAACTTCCCTCAGTGCAAGGAGAGGAGGTGCATCCAGGGGGACCTCAGTGTTACCGTTCTATGTAACGGGCCCTCTCTCTGTGGGGGGTTCACCCCGCGGTCCCTACATGGCCAAGGGTGTGCCCTACTGTGTGGGTGCAGCAGGCTGAGGGCATGGGGTGCAGGGGTGGGATGCTGCCAAACCTCTGTCCTGGGCGGAACAGGATGCCCAGGGCCAGGGGACAAGGGAGAGGGGAAGTTGTCCCATGTGTGCCAGCCGTCTGGAGCAGGTATGGGGGTGTATCTGTGGCGGTAGACACGTGCGTGCGTGTGTGGCTGCTGGATGTGTTTCAGGTTTGTGTAAGGCTGTGTTTGTGCATGTGTGTGTGGGCCGGGCATTGCAGGGACAGAGCTGTGATTGTGCCGGGTCTGTGGGTCTGTCCTGCGCTGTTGCTACTGCTGCTGCTGCTGCTGAGCTGGACTGGCTCCATGAAAGGCGCTGTGTGTTCCCAGAGATGCCTGCCCCAGGTCTGTGGAGGTAGAGGGGTCCTCCCTCTCCCGCCCTTCCTCCCACAACAGGGCACTGCTGTCTGGGCCCTGGGCAGGGCGGCTCTATCCTCTTTCCTGAGACCCCTCCTGCCTGGCCTTGGAGCCCGGCCCAGGGTCCTCACAAGCCTCTGGGCAAGGTGAGGGGGTGCACTCTGGGGACTCCTAGGTGTGTGCGAATGGAGACCTGGCCCCAGGGCCCAGGAGTCCTAAGAGCAAGGCTGGCTTCTTACAATGCCTGTCCTGTGCCACCAATAAGCTGTTGGGATGATATCCCCTGTGGACAGTGCCTCTACCCTGGCTTCAGGCCACCATGGACACTTTTCCAGTTGGGGCTGCTGCAGACCATCCTGACAGGGTGCTTGGGACTTGGGGGAATCCAGCTGCCTCTCCTGTCCCTGTCTCTGCCTCTCCTCCCAGGTTCCCCCTGCCTTCCGCCCTGTCCTCCCATTACCCCATCATCCCTGTCCTAGGGCAGTCTAGAGAGGCAGGCTCAGATCCTTGCTGCCCTGCCTGGACCCCCACTCCTAGGGTGCTGTGTTCCTGAACATCAGAGTTTTCTGCAGCTGAGCCTGTCCCAGGCCTGGGGAAAAGCACTATGAGGAGAGCCATTGAGCCTGGCCAGTCACTTGCTTCCCCCCAGAACCCTGATCCCCAGCAACAGGTCCTTGGGTCCCTGCTCCTGCCACCTCCCTGGGTGGCTGGGCAGCTGGCATGTGTCAGGGCTGTTCCTGGGTGTCCCAGCCACCTGGCTTTATAAGGAAGAAAAGTGGGAGGCAGGGCCACAGTAGGTCGGCTGCGGGGCACCCAGGTCTAGGAGGTGAGGTGGGGCTGAGAGGGGACGGCAGGGGGAAACATGTTGATCATTAATTCATTCACACATAACTGCCACTGTGTATGTAAAGAAGAGGGTAAAGTTTAGGAGAAGCAGAGGCCTGCCCACTGCCCCAGACTGAATGCAGAATGCAGAGTGCAGAAGAGGCAAGGAAGGAGCACAGAGCGGGGCTGAGGTGGCAAGAGTGGGGTGTGCCAAGCCAGCTGGGCGTCTGGGGAACCGGATTCTCCACAGGACCCCAGGGAACAGGTCCAGTGTCAGGTTGGGCAGTGGGGCATGGCCGGGAGTCTCCAGCAGCAGTGGAAGGGATGAAAGGCTCTCTGTCTGCCACCCTGGGTGTGTGCAGGGACACCTGGGGCTGAATGGCAGCTCTGTGTGAGCCCTGAGATCACCCAGCCTTGGACCCCAAGCCAGGTCTCCTCCCCTCTCTCCCCTGCCGGGACTTCGGGGAGGTGGAGCAGGGTGGACAGGCCTTTGAACTGTGTGCTGCTCCTGCTCTCAATCTGGGATGTGAGGAGAAACAGCCCACCGACCCCCAGACCCCCAGACCATCATGCAGGTGGTGTGTGGGAGGGAAGGTGGGGTGCACAGTCTGGCTTCTGAGTACTGAGCAGCACCCAAAGGCCCCTTCCTGCCATGTCAACCTCCACCTTGGGCCACTCAGCAAGGGTGACCGACCCTCATAAACCCCTCCCCAGACCCCTGAGACTCAACCACCCCCAACCAAGCCAGCACCTTCCACTCTGTCACTGACAGCACCAAGGGGAAGGCTGCAGGGACAGACTTCAGATCAGACCAAAGGGACAATGCAGCCTGCCTCAGGGTAACACTGTGATCACCAAGCCTAGGGCAGCCAGCTCCCTGCCCTCCAGAGTGGATGCCTAGAAGCTGCCCTCACACCCACAGCCGCAGTGTTCATGGTTTTCTGCCATGCTGCACCCCTGGTTCCAGATGGGGTTCCTAAAACAGGGCCATCTCAGTGGTCAATGACTACCTGAGCCTCTCTGGTGCTGGCCTCATAGGTGCCCTGTCTGAACAATGTCAGATTGGCTCCAAGTCAGCAGCCACCCCT